CAAACAATCTAAATCATGTTAAAGATCATGTTTTTTATACAATCTATAACACGAGAGAAAACTAACTGCTTAAAACATTTTTTCGAAGAGGATTAATGTAAAAATTTATACTTATATACACAAAAAAAAAAAAAAAAAAAAAAAAAAAAAAAAAAAAAAAAAAAAAAAAAAAAAAAAAAAAAAAAAAATAAAAACAAAAAAAAAAAAAAAAAAAAAAAAAAAAAAAAAAAAAAAAACAAAAAAAAAAAAAAACTTAGACAAAAAAAAAAAAAAAAAAAATGAGACGCACCAAGAAGGAGTTATCCGAATGGGACGAAATTTATAGAAGTGATGTACATGTACAGAAAAACAAATGATTACAGTTTGAGAAAAACTGGATGATTTATTGATGTGATAGAGCTTCACAAAGTCAAAAAGTCTGTAACGCGTTTGTCCACCTCTGGCCCTTATGCAAGCAGTTATTCGGCTTGGCATCGATTGATAGAGGTTGCGGATGTCCCCTGAGGGATATCGTGCCAAATTCTGTTCAACTGGCGCGTTAGACCGTCAACATCCGGAGCTGGTTGAGAGCCCTACCCATAATGCTCCATAGGAGAGAGATCCGGTGACCTTGCTGGTCAAGGTAATGTTAGGCAAGCACTAGAAACATGTGCAGTGTGGGGGGTGAGCATTATCTTGCTGAAATGTAAGCCCAGGGTGGCATGACATGAAGGGCAACACAACGGGCCTTAGAACTTCATCAATGTACCGCTGTGCTATAAGGTTGCGACAGATGACAACCAAAGGGATCCTACTATAAAATGAAATGACACCCCAGACCATCACTCCTGGTTGTCGGTCTGTCTGCCTGAAGACAATCAGGTTGGTATCAATCCGCTATCCGGGGCGTCTCCAGACTCGCTTTTGCTAGTCATCAGGGCTTGATTCAAAGCGGGACTCATCACTGTTTTCTTCTCCAGTCAGTGACACTCCAGTGCGAATGAGCTTGATACCACTGCAAACGGGCTTGACGTTGTACAGAAGTCAATCAATGGCAATCGGCGTGACCTTAGCCCCCTTTCTGTGAATGGTCCTTGCGGTCACTGAAGCACTAGCTGCACGTACAATCGATGATAATGATGCATTTAGTCTTTACGTTCTGTCGTTTCTCTAGGTCTACCACATCCTTCTTGACGCTGTGTGTGGCCATGGTTCACCCATTCCTGCCAAAATTGTCTAATAGTGGCATCGCTCCTGTTTAAATGTCGAACTATTCGCCGATAAGACCAACCGGCTTCTTTGAGCCCAACTACATGACCTCTCTCAAATTCTAACATCTGCGCACCTGTATGCGAGGCATAGTTACTGCCTTCCAGAGTACACGGAATGAAATTTCTGAAGAATGTATGACCTGGAAATGTAATTTCTCCTCTTAAATAGCAGATCAGATGTGGTACAGCGACAATCGGTTCATTCATTGGCAGCCAAAATGTAAAATTTTGCATTTTCCATCGAAACCTGTATGCATATCAATTTGTGTCCAATTTGCTTTATATATTCTCGGTGTGTCATTTTTTTGTCTACGAGTGTATATAATTTTTAAAGCTGGGATATCACCCAAACTGTCAACGTCCTGTTTGCTTAAAAACATTGTGAAAATAAACATCAAACGAACTTTCTCAGTTTTAGACAATTCAATTTAAATGCAGTCAAAGTAAAGTAACAGACAATAACACGGCGAAGGTAAAAATTTAGTCTTACAAATATTTTAAAAAAAAGGAAGAAAGAAATTTTTAAAAAGTTAAAAATTTAAATATCTATAATTAAAAAAAATAGCTTTGGTAAAAGTATATTTTAGGGTACCCCTTGGCAAAACTTGGCAGTACATGGATACCAAATTTGTGCAATTCTTTGACTTGTTAAGTGCCGATTTTGGGGGCAAAAGTTGCCGCTACACAAAGCCAAAATAACAAGACAAAGAATTGCACAAACTTGGTATTCATGTACACTGCGACTTATTTTCACTTAAAAAAAAAACAATCCCAGAATTGCACAAAAATGGCATTGGCATTCTCTTGACTTTTATCCATGGACACATCGACCTGTTTTCACTTACGAACAAATCAGAGAATTTCACAAACTAGGCTTTGTGCTCTCCCTCAACTCTGTCCATGTACACATTGAACTATATTCACTAAAAAGTCAAAGGAGCAGCCAACAAAATATATATATATAATCTGAATAAACATCATTTTAAATCAAACAATGAAATAACATAAAAAAGGAAATTCATTTTAGTACTACATGAAGGAAATTTCTACTTACCTCATTTATGAATTTACGCGTCTTCAGTCAAACACAATTCCTTAACAGCATCCAAACACTTAGTCTTACAAATTATCTGAACTACAATCTGTATACTGGTGTCACCACATAAATTCACAACAATAAGAGTAGAAAATATCCTCCGTTCGAAAATACGCATTTCGTTCCTCCAAACAGGACACTTAATAATGGCTACTAAGTAAACCTTCATTTACATACGAACCAATTAATGCTTTTTTCCCTTTCGTTTTAAATCCTACAGAAACTTCAAATTAATCTTACCACATTCAGCCAATTTACCGTATTAATGCATCAGACACAAGCACTTAACCAAAATCCGACAGACACTTTCAAAATTTTTTCCCACGATTCAAATTCACCGCAACCAATTATGTCATAATAGAGTTTCCATAGCATTCGACTACTCAGGTTGTCATAAATGAGACAACAACTTGGCGATAAATGAAACAACAATTTCACGATAATGCAAGGGGTACCCTAAAGTCAACTCTAACCATAGCTTTTCATATAGTATCAATAAATATTTATTACGCATCACTGGGGAGAAAAATTTCATATAATTAATTCTCCATAAAAATTTATTTGAAATTTAAGTTAAAAAATAGCTATGGCAATTCACTGTAACAAATATCCATAAACCACATTTGGCGTTATCATCGCTAAAAAAAAAGATGCCAAATTTCAATACATGAAAATATGTAATTTCGTGTATATGTTAGAGAATTTTGAATAAAAAATTCTAATTTTTTGCAGGTATGCTTAGAACTACACCTACTTTAAGATGATGGCAAAAACTTTATAGGTTATAATTTTAAATTTTATCGAAAAATTATTTAAAAATAAAACACAAAAAAATGGCTGAATTTTATTTGGAATGAACCTAAATTTCAAAATGTGAAAGGAACAATCAAAAAAGTTTAATATAAAAAGGAGATATTAATAAATATATGCCAAATTCAACTAACACTGAGGAGCTAAATTTTTAAATACTCATACAATTTTTACAAAACTTGGCAGTCTGGCATAATTTGAGTCGTGGAATTGAAATATGTAAAAAAATTGGTGTTATTTCAAAAAAGACAGATATTCTGTCAAAATACCTATGTTACAATGGTGCTATATATAAATCTAATATATATCCTAAGTCATGCTTTTGAGACATTAAAAACACAATTTGAATTTTGTCAATCGGCCCAGTAGAGCGGGAGATATAGAACTGTCCTTTTTTTTGCACAGGTTACATTCTTATGTTTTCACTGCTCTAAAAAAATTACATAAATGTTTACTCTTTCTTTCTCTATTCTAAAAATTGTAATCTCTCTCTGTACTGCGTTGAGATTATTCCATCATGTATCATTCCATGAAATTAGTTAAATTTTATGGCTATTTTTAAACTTTTTGAAGATCACTTTTTTTTTCCATTGTTTAATGTTATCAAAGTAGCCATGGGCAAATATGATCACATTAAGTGAAGCCTGCTACTATATATGGCTGAAAAGCATTTATATGACAACCCAGAAAGTGCATACATACCTGTTTTATTAGTGTCCCTGCATGCATGGGAGGAACAAAAATGTAAAAAAAAAAAAGTTTTACTAGCAGATTTAATTTTGAGGCTGTAGTGTAGAACTGGGTGCCCCTTCAATTATTGACAAATTTTGTTCAGTTTGGGCAGTGAAATACCATTTCTGGTTACTATGTTCTGGTCGTTTCTGGTCTTTGTTAGAAAGTACAAAGGATGTCATTCGAAATCTTCACACCTATTTTTTATGTTAATGGATGGAGAGGGGAGGAAATTGCTGTGAAAATGTAAAAGTATTTCGGGCAGTTCGGTATTTTGAGGATACAGGTTAGCAAAGGGTCTGGATTTCAGAGTTAATAATATACAGCTGATAACAATGATGATTATAATGAGAACAATTCAAAATATTCTCATAAACAAAATTACAAATTATTTATAATAAACTCAATAAACATATTTGTAAACCCAAGCTGCAGCATAATTTTCATGTATCATGTTTTTTTAGTTTAAAAATAAAGATTGTCTTTAAGTGTTAAAACGAAATTAATATTCACTTGCTGCAATTAACTTTTGCAAAATTTAGAGCATTATTTGTTTTACAATTAAGTTTTTATATTTGGAAAAGAAATTAAACAAAAAAAAAATATTTTCTTCACAGCATTTAAATAAACCTAACAACATACTTGATAGAGCTAAAAATAGCCTGTTCCAATAACATACTTAAAGTTAAGAATAAAGCAGAATTTAATTTCTGCCATAAGTTATATTTTAGATATCAAAATAATATAGCAATTATTCAGGAAATGAAGATGGCACTACTTACTTACTAGTAACGTAGTACTGATGAATTCTATCAGTACGGAACACATGCTACATGTTTTTTAGGTATAGATTTACAGTTTTCAAATGTCTCTCCTGCTGAAACCATCTCGCCGTAATCCATACTACTCGCAGTAGCTTGCGCCGAAAGATCGAAATTTTTACAATAACTACACGGCCGTTTTTCCATATCTAGGCCACAAAAATAAAACATGAAAAGCTTAAACAATTATAATGTTTACCTTATGCTTACACATAAGTGAGGCGCTTTTTACAATAATAAACTGAATAAAATGAAAATGCACTAAAATTATTACTTAAAAAGATACAAATCGTGTTTTTAAAAATGTATTATATTTTTGAAAATACAAAATGAATCAAAATGAATGCAAATGCTAGAATGCGTCCCAATATGCTAAACATAAAAATGTCCGTTTGGTAAATGTAGTAAATGCTCGAGAGAAAGTCATTCCTCGTCTTTTTGTTCTTCATCTGCTCTTCTTACATAAACCACGTTGTTGCAACGAATACTTATTTCTCCAATCCTGCTAATAGTTTGGTCCTCGAGTATTTCGATGCAATCATCCAACTCGAGATTCATGTGTTGGTCTGTTGACACAAGGATTCCAATATATTCCATTCCCCACTTCAACTTAACACAGACGCGTTTCCCAGTCATACTGGTCAAAAAAGGCTTTGGGTTTACTACAGATGTTGACATTTCGGAAACAGATATAAGACACACAGCTCCTGAAAATGAAAACAGATATAGGTAAGGTATTGAAAAGACACTTTTACGAACACCACATTTAACATATAACAATAAAAAAGAGAAGCTAAAAAATACCGATATTATCGAATATACACAAAGCTAAATGGCAAATTCCTAGGCTTTTCCTTTTCTTACCACTGCCAGATTTCGAAGCTCAATGTAACAAGCTCGAAACAAGGCTGCTCGGCCGTCCGTGGCCGTCCACCCGCTGGGAAGCGTATTTTTAATTCCTCCCTAGGAAATGTAACCCGCGACGAAATTTGGCGATTTACGAGTTCTTGGCAAAATTGTGTGAATAGCGCATGCGCAGAGATGTACGAACTATAGTGATGATATGTCGTATTTTATAGCGTGGTACTTCATTGCCTATATTTCGTAATGGCGGTTTATATGTAATTGTGGATGTGTCAAACATAATTACTGAAGCAGTGGGGATATTAAATACAGAAAAAGACGGTTCATTTTTCAACAGAGTGTACTTATGGTGCTTTTTTTTATGGCTTGACTACGTGTCGAGCTATTGGCAGTTACTAACACTGCATACAGTTAGAGTGTTCGCATTACAGTAAAGATAAATATTAGGTATACATGAAGAAAAAAAACTCCTTCAGCTGAGCACGAGCTCATATGATATGTGTGAAGTTGAACCTCTACCTGATTATTATCGTTATTTTTGATGTAATGTAGTAAATCGCGATAGGCAACAGTTGAGTTTTTACATCTACGCTTTCGAGTTTGTTCTATAGTTTTTACTTTTCGTTTTAAGTAATGAGGATAATGACTTTTGAGATGCTTTTCATGAGTATTTAAGAACTGATGAGTATTATTTTATGCATTTATGTTCTGAGTATTGCTTTGAGGTGACAAAGCTAAAACTAACACTTAATTAGACTTGTAAATTGAATCGTAATATTAAACTGTTTGTGTTGTGACGAGATGTCTTTCATTGGATAATTGATTGTATACTCATTTTCCATAATAATTCTTCTGATATCGAAGGTAAAACGGGATATCATGATAGCAATGTAGGTAGAAGTGCTTTTTTTCGGTTTATGGAATGCTGGAGTTGTACTTAGCATGTCTCAGCACTTGTGTTATTACATCTTTGCTGTAAATTTTTTGGGATTTAGTAAAACCATATTTAATAATGATATATACTATTTATTGTATATATTTACGTATTAAATAATTCTTTTAAGATATGTATTGTTTCTTATAAAATATCAAGTGGATGTATAAACGTTAATAATTTCTTCATTTTAACAGTTTTTATTTAACTCATTTCATCTGCCTTTGCTTCCGTTGTCTAGTTTGTAACATATAAAAACACTTATCAAGTGTGATATATTTTCCCTTATATATATATATATATATATATATTAATTGAAAAAGAAAATGTAAAGCTAACTGGTAATTAGACGTAAGACATATCTGGTCTCAAAAACTTTTGCGCATAATGCTGCAAAAAGATTTGAAAGAATAGTAGTAGGTAGGAACATTGCAGCAACCTATATCTATGGGGACATATCATGAGTGGCATTATATTCAAAATATGCATTTAAGTTTTAAAGGAAAATTCAATCTAAAAATATTTTATCATGTAAGAAATGTTAATCAGAAGTAACATAGGTAATTATATGGTACTACTTTGGTAGACGGTTGCACGGATTTTTGGCGATTTATATTGGCGCAATTGTTGGCGAGGTTTTTATAGTCGTCAGCCATCCTGAAAAATGCTGTTTTTACGTATTTTACGCATAGTAAAGTATTCGAAACTTTAAAAAAATAAATATCGTTAAAAATAATGGATTAATTTTCTGTTGAAAACTTTGTTTTTAAGATAGCTCGTAAATGTAAATAAAGAATTTACTAAGAGTATAAAATGCTAAAGTAAGGTTAAATGGTACTTTTCCGTTTTGCCGGCGCAAGCGATAAAGTCGCCAATAATGGTACAGCTGATGCCAAACGGAATATCATCGCTGGTAACCTTTTACGCCTCATTTTCAAAACAAGTAGCAGTCATTTCTTATCAGATTGATTATTTCTTTCAATACTGGCATACAATTACATAGAATTTTACCAGATAGTTCAATTTTATGCCTTAAGGCCATTCGCGGTAATTAAGTCAATTAGGATGCAATCACAACACTCACCCGAAGGTAAAAATGTAGAAAAGTCAAAGTCAAGGGTTAAACTCATCAATCCTAGTGAGAATGCACTAGCGAAGTAAAGCGCATTGCGGTTTTTACATAATTTCTGAGTAAGCTATTCATACGAATTGAAATAATTCTTGCATTTAAACTTGTATTCCAAATTAAGATTTAACTTGAAATTAATGTAGATAATTACTGAGAGAATTAGATTTTTGTAGCGTAGTTTACGTGAGATGAGATCACTTGGGGTCACGGATATGAACCGGCGAATCAGGATGTTTGAACCGTGAAAGCATAGTAAATTCTTAAATTAATGTCTCTTTTACAAAATTTTTTTTTTATTTATTGGTTTTTTAGACAAAATTTTAAACGATATTAAAATGTTTATGCCTTCAAAATAAAAAATTCTTAGAAACTAACATTTGTTAACATTCTTTATGTGTATACTGCATGTTGTCGCCATTAAAGTTTGCTTGGCGAAATTTGCGTCGGCGAAACGGAAAAGTACCGGTTAAATTATTACTTTCATATAATAGAATAAAAACACCTCTATAAAAACATTGCGCAACATTTAATTGGATTAAAATATTACTTAAATTGAATATCGAATTAAAAACATCATACCAACGTTTAAAAGAATTAAAATATTACTTAAATACTTTAAAATAAGTTTTATAGGATTTAATTATTTAACATGAAAACATATGCGGCAATAAATAACTCAGGAATTTTTTTAAAACATTATTAATATTAGTATTAATTTTTAATAAAAATTGAAGCATACAATTATGAAGTAAAAGAAAATTATGTACTTACATTTTTTAACCTGCTTATATTGATAAGTACCACAACAAAAAAAAAAAAACAAAAAAAAAGTTCCGCTAACAATCTTCATCTGTATGATTCACATCTCTCACACTTCATTGAAGAAGCAATTAGCCATGTTTTCTCCAAAAATTTAAAATAAATTTCCTCTGACGCTATTAACAGTTTATAAATAAATCTTTGATTAGGAAAGCCAGGTTGGCCAAAATAAGGCCTCAAACGGCAATTTTTTTATTCCGATACCAATAATTCTTGGTAACTACTAATAACAACATTTATATTAGAAACGGACACATCCATTCGCTTTGAAATCTGAGGAATTCGAAGAGATGAATAATAAAATTTTAAAATGGCGCGGTAGTGCACAAATATTCAGTAACCAATCAGGGAGCTGATTACATCACGCATATAATTAAAATTATTTAAATAATCATTCATAATAAAATCATATTTAAAAAAATGCAAAATTAAATTGTATTTTAATATTTAACAGCCATAAATAATGTTTAAAACATTAGATTAAATTTATAGATATTAATAAAACCAATTACTTTTTAAATAAGGTTGACGTCATTCATTACATCATTCACAACATAAAATTCCATAAAATATCATAAACAATAAAATTTTTATTTCAAATAAAAATGCCAAAATTAAATAATTCTTTTTTTATTATTTGAAGTCATAAATAATATTTAAACACGGAATTTATGCATAATAAAACGCATTATTTTTTTAAATAAAATGACAACAAAGTATCGGTTACCATAAACAACTTGTCTAGCAATGGGTTTACCATAAGTCGTATCGCTCGCCAAAATATCGCCAAAATCCGTGCAACCGTCTACCAAAGTTTATTCCGTAAAAGTTCTAATTGAAGAAAGAGTTTCTTCGGTTAAAGAAGAAATAGAAGAAAGAGTTTCTTCTGTAAAAGAACATATAGAAGAGCGAGTTTCTGCCGTCGAGCACAAACGATGATGGGTTTCGCCGTTCGAAAGAAGTCGAATTTAAGGAAATCGTAGCGACGCAAGATATTTTTAATTTTACCTTCTCTTTACAGGACTGGACTATAATCTTATAATTTTCATTTTCTTTTTTTAAATTTTTTTTAAGGTAAAAATACAACCAGTTGTGAAGTTGAACCTCTACCTGATTATTATCTTTATTTTGATGTAATTTAGTAAATCGCGATTGGCAACAGTTGAGTTTTTACATCTACGTTTTCGAGTTTGTTCTATTGTTTTACTTTCGTTTTAAGTAATGAGAATAATGACTTTTTGAGATGTTTTTCATGAGTATTTAAGAACTGATGAGTATTATTTTATGCCATTTATGTTCTGAGTATTGCTTTGAGGTGTCAAAGCTAAAACTAACACTTAATTAGACTTGTAAATAGAATGTAATATTAAACTGTTTGTGTTGTGACGAGATGTCTTTCATTGGATAATTGATTGTATACTCATTTTCCATCATAATTCTTCTGATATCGAAGGTAAAACGGGATATCTGGCGTCCAAGAGACAGGACTACGGCTGCATTTTTAAGAGTGAGTGAAAAAATATTTTTATATTTTCTTTTATTCTTTGTGCATTATGGATATTGTTTTGAAAGATAGAAAGCAACTTAGAAGGTTGTTTACTCGAGCATGTAATACTTTTGATGAGGAAGAAATCAAATTAAATCGTGCTGATAAAATTAATAAATTAAAGCTAATTGAAGAGAAAGCTTTATTAATGATAGCATGTGAAGAGAAATATAAACATTTGTTGTATTCTGAAAATACTTCCGATACCGAAATAGAGAAAGCGGTAGATGAGTCAGAAATGTATATTGATCGATGGAGATCTTTAAAACAGAAGCTAGAAACACTAGTGAGTGAACAATTATCTTCTAAAAATGAAAATTTGAACATTGTTTCGCAGCCGAACACTTTATTACGTTACCCAAAAATAAAATTACCTACTTTTGACGGTAGTGTAACGAAATTGGCTATACTTTTGGGGTCAGTTTCAAAAAATTGATGAGGACATTAATATCGATTTTCACGATAAATTTTCGTATTTATCTCAAGCAATGGAAAAAGGCAGTCCTGCTGAAGAATTAATTAAGAGCTATCCCCCAGGGGGTAATAGTTACGAAAAAGCTTTAAAACAGCTGAAAATGCGTTTCGGCAGAGAGGAACTATTGATTCAGGTATATGTCAGAGACTTATTAGTATTAGTTCTTCAAAAACAGAACACTTCTAAAAATTCATTAAGAAAATTGTTCGATCAACTTGAGAGTAAACTGCGATCACTTGAATTATTAGGTGTTACTAGGGAAAAATATGCTGCAATGCTTTTTCCACTAGTTGAATCATCATTACCCGAAGAAACTCTTGTTGCTTGGCAGCGCTATAGATCTGCTCATCGTAGAATTCGAGAAGTGAATTTAGATGATTCAGACGAAAGTAAAACTATAATTGAGAAAAGTGATTTAGAATGCATTTTAGAATTTTTACAAGCCGAAGTCGAAGCTGAAGAACGCATTTTTTTAGCCTCTCAAAGTTTCAACACATCGAAACCAAAAGCAGAAGTAAAACATAATCTTTCCTATGAGAAAAAGGTAATAGAGAACAAATGTAAGAGTAGAAAGTTTTCAAATATACCTAGTGCAACAGACCTTCTAACTTCATCTCAAGTATCAAAACAGTGTATATTCTGTTCTAATTCACATTTTTCTGGAGACTGTCTAAAAGTAAGAAAAATACCTTTAAGGCAGAGGGAGTCACTGGTTCAACAATCTCACAAGTGTTTTTTTATGTTTGAAATCTGGACATTCAGTCAAGGATTGTAACTTGAAAGTTGGTTGCTTGTGTTGTGGTAAAAAACACCATATTCTTCTGTGTAGAAAGATGCACCAAAAATAACTATGTCAAAAAACGAAGAATCACCTGAAGTTGAAAAGAAAACTGAGATTAGTGCTGAAGTGGATCAAGCTCTTTCCAATTTATCTTCTACTCCGGACGTAATGCTTCAAACATTCAAAGTTATAATTAGAAGTAATGGGAAAAAACGCGTCGCAAGAGCTATTATCGATACTGCTTCACAGCGATCATATTTATTAAGAAGTACAGCTAAAGAAATGAACTATGAACCTCAGAGTTGTGAATATTTACAACACTCTTTATTTGGAGGGAAGGACTCAGGGATATGCAAGCATGATGTATACACTTTATATTTATCGAGTGTGCATGGGAATTATAATTGCAACTTTAAAGTTCTTAGTCAACAAATTATTTGTAAGTCAGTGCCACCTACTGTCAACAAGCTTTGTCTGAAAGAGTTAGCAGCCTGTAATATAAATATTGTGGATGATTGTCAAAATCCTATTGAGATTCTTATTGGGGCTGATGTAGCTGGAAAACTCATGACAGGTGGTCGTCGTGAGTTGCCTTGTGGTCTCGTAGCTATTGAGACCAAATTTGGATGGTCAGTTATGGGACGAATGCCGAATACTTCGAAAAGTGAGTTTTCATCATCGTTCTTAGTTACATCCTTGTTATCTACTGTGGAGACCATAACAGATCTATGGACTTTGGACACACTTGGGATCACTGACCCATCAGTCAAGAAAAACCAGACTGAACTACAAGAAGCTGCTCGGTTACATTTTCTAAATACAGTTCGTATAGTCGATGATCGTTTCGAGGTTGATTTGCCCTGGTTGGAATATCATCCACCACTAACAGACTATTTTGACTTAGCCGAGAGAAGACTGAACAAAACTGTTAAACGTCTTAAAATCGAGTCCAATTATGAAGCTTATGGAGATGTTTTCAAGGAATGGCTAGAAGAGGGAGTAATTGAAGAGGCTGATAAAAATTATCAAGGGCAAGTTCTTTACCTTCCTCATCGAGAAGTTATCAAAAAGAATAGCACTACAAAACTCCGACCGGTATTTGATGCTTGCTTCGGCCAAAGTAAAGGGATTTCCTAGTCTTAATGACTGCTTAGAAAAAGGCCCAAATCTAATAGAACAGCTTCCGAGTATTTTAACACGCTTTCGAAAAGAAAAGATTGGTGTTATTGCTGATATACGAAGAGCCTTTCTTCAAATAAGTGTTTCACCTACTGATAGAGACTTTTTGCGGTTCTTATGGCTTGATAGTGATGGTCAACTGAAAGTGTACAGGCACTGCCGTGTAGTTTTTGGTGTAGCAAGTAGCCCTTTTCTTCTAAACTCTACTATTCAGCTTCACCTACAAACTGTTTTAGAGAAAATAGAAACCGGTGAATCCTTATATACGAAAGGTGTCATTCAAAAACTTATGCATAGTTTTTATGTTGACAATTGTGTCAGTTGTGTTAAAAATGAAGAAGAACTCATCATTTTATTAGTGTATCAACTGAGGTAATGGCTGAGAGAAAATTTGAGCTTAGAGGGTGGGAGTTCAATGATATTAATGCTGATGCTTCTGCTGATACAAATGTGCTCGGTTTAATATGGAATAAAAAATCTGACACTCTAAGAATAAATACTGGTAGTATATAAAAGAGTTATGTTTTGAAAAAGTGACTAAGCGCTTAATCTTATCTACAGCTCATAGATTGTTTGATCCTCTTGGTATATGTTGTCCTGTTATCCTTATCCCTAAGTTATTACTTCAAGAAACTTGGAAGCAGAAGATAACATGGGATGAAGAAGTTGATACCTGTACGAGAACTACATTTTTAAAATGGTTGAAAGATATTGACTATCTGGAAAAGATCCATTTTCCAAGATATTTTGGTTCAAGGAGTACGAGTGAAAATACTTCAGTACATATTTTCTGTGATGCCAGTAAGCATGCTTATGCCGTGGCTGCTTTCATTCGTATAAAAACTTTTGATTCTACTAAAGTACAACTGATACAAGCCAGGAGTAGAGTTACACCAACTGGAAAAGAAGAAACTACTATCGCGAGATTGGAATTACTTGCAGCTACTATAGCGTCTCGCCTTTCGTCCTCAATTTTGTCTGAGATACAGAGTGAAGAAGTTTACTTCTGGACTGATTCTTCTACTGTTTTAGCATGGATAACGAGAGAAGAAGCCTGGAGTGTATTTGTCCAGAATAGGGTGAAGGAAATAAGAAGACTAACAAATAAAGATTCTTGGAGACATATTCCTGGTTGCATGAATCCAGCTGATCTTCCGAGTAGAGGTTGTTCAGCTCTCTCCTTATTGAAATCTCAGTGGTGGTTAGGTCCAAGTTGGCTTTACTTGCCTGAAGAAGATTGGCCTAAAGGTGACTTAAATTTAGATGAGACTGAGATTGTTAGAGAAAAGAAAAAGAGCATAGTTTTCTTCTGTAACTAAAATGTTTAGTTTCTGCATGCTTGGTTACCAAGAGAGACTGGTATTACAGATATTTTTCCCAATACAAAAGGATAGTTAATCTAATTGCCTGGATCCTAAGATTCACCTCCAATTGTCGAACTGAAAAAACAGTGAGAAAGCATGGAAACCTTGATTCTGATGAAATTTTTGAGGCTGAGAAGTTATTGATCAAAATGGTTCAAGAAGATTGTTTTGTGAATGAAAAGGATGAGAAATTAAGAACTTTAGGAGTATTCAAGGATCAAAGTGGAATCCTCAGACTAAAAACTAAACTTACCTTTCGTGAGGATACAGAAGACTTTAAAACGCCAGCTATTCTTCCATCCAATCATGAGGTTGTCAAGAGACTAGTGCGATACTATCATGAGAAAAATGCACATGCTGGTACTCAAATTTTAATAAATATTCTACGAGAGAGATTTTGGATTCTGAATGCTCGTAAAACTGTGAGATCTATCATCAATCAATGCACCGTGTGTAGAAGATTTTCTGCAAAGAACCTAGAAACTTGTACTGGGGCTCCTCCAGAAGATAGATTACGAGAAGCAGCTGTATTTGAAATCTGTGGAGTTGATCTTGCGGGACCAGTAATCCTGAAAGGCAACAAGAAATCTTGGATTTGTTTATTCACCTGCGCCATTTATAGGGCAGTCCATTTAGAGTTGGTTGAATCGATGTCTACTGAGAGTTTTCTACTAGCTCTTAGAAGATTTATAGCTCGTAGAGGACGGAGCAGAATCATATACTGTGACAACGGAACCAATTTTGTTGGTGCTTCAAATGTACTTCAAGACTTAAACTGGAAGCAAATCACTGAAGACACATCTATACCACCAATTCAGTGGAAGTTCAACCCACCAACTGCCTCCTGGTGGGGAGGCTGGTGGGAGAGATTGATAGGAATTCTTAAGAAATTGCTGAGACGAGTATTAGGAAGAGCTTCGCTAACTTCTGAAGAAATGAACACGACTCTCTGTGACTGTGAAGCAGTAATTAATTCCCGTCCATTGACATATGTAACTGAAAGTGATGCTACTTTAATGCCTTTAAGTCCATCTCTATTTCTGCAAGATAATCAAATAAGTGGTGTTCCAGATCTTGATGACATTGGGCATAAAAGTCTTAATAAGCGAGTCAAATATAGAGAAAACTTGCAAAAGGATTTGAGAAACAGGTTTAGGTCTGAATATTTAGGAGCACTTATTCAAAAAGCAGGAAACAAAAAATCTGTGAAAGTGAATATTGGTGATATTGTATTGATAGGAAGTGATAACACCAAGCGAATCAATTGGCCATTAGGTAAAATAATTCAGATTCTTCCAGGAAAAGATGGAATTACAAGACTTGTCAAGCTTAAAACAGCTAATGGACACTTGCTAAGACCAATTCAAAGATTGTATCCACTTGAAGTTTCCAACGATGATCCCATTATTGAGAAATTTTCAACCGCGAAGGTGGGAGGTGAAACCTGTGCCAATTCTTCCTTTGATAACGTGTGTGGACTTGAACCTCAGATTCAAAAGACTAGAGCAGGTCGTACAATCAAAGTACCTAAGAGACTGGACTTATGAACTACTTATAATTTTCTTTTTGTAACTTATAAAATATTCACAATTTTCTTTTGTAAGTTAAATTTTTGAGGTAAAAATATTAACTTAGGTGGGAGGATGTGAAGTTGAACCTCTACCTGATTATTATCTTTATTTTGATGTAATTTAGTAAATCGCGATTGGCAACAGTTGAGTTTTTACATCTACGTTTTCGAGTTTGTTCTATTGTTTACTTTCGTTTTAAGTAATGAGAATAATGACTTTTTGAGATGTTTTTCATGAGTATTTAAAAACTGATGAGTAATATTTTATGCCATTTATGTTCTGAGTATTGCTTTGAGGTGTCAAAGCTAAAACTAACACTTAATTAGACTTGTAAATAGAATTGTAATATTAAACTGTTTGTGTTGTGACGAGATGTCTTTCATTGGATAATTGATTGTATACTCATTTTCCATCATAATTCTTCTGATATCGAAGGTAAAACGGGATATAAATGTGTAGCTTCGGGGATTCGGTTAAATTGACTATTTCGAACAAATATGCGACCTTGCAAGAAACACCGCAATACTCATTAAGAATAAAAATTGAGCTACTTACTTACTGTTCTGATTATTAATTTAGAAATATAGTTTTTTTAATACTAAAATTACCTTTGGGGGGCTATGGAGATTTCGAAAAATTATATAGGGGCGATGATCAAAAAAGTTTGGCGACCCCTGTTATATAGCAATGTTTCCACCTTTTTGGTGGTATTTTATTTGTTATGCCCCACCTAATCCTCTCTAAAATTCTTATGCTCCCCGTAGCATATGCATAATTTTTAATATTCAAGAATTGAAATGTTCACGAAAGAAACTTGAATGATAGATTTTAGGAAGAATTTTCTAAGCATTTAAATTCCCTGTCTACAGAGAAAATTCTTTATAAAATATTTAAAATACACCGCCATTTAAAAGCTTTTTTACGTATACACATACATTTTTCTTTATTTTTGGGAATAAAAATTAAATTTTGAAAAATATAGACTTCTTGAAGGAAAACTGAACGTCCCTTGTCTCCTTAAACTATGGACGAGTCCATTTTCGAATTGCTCCCCTGTGAGGCGTGGGCCCCATGTTGGGAAACACTACTATAGAGTGTCTGTTTTTTATACATTGCCGTAACATATACACCGAAGAGCCATTACATTATAACTACCTTTAGCCCTCAAATCTGCTATGACCCGGGGTGGCATCGACTCCACAAGGTGCTGATACTTAGTCTGAGCTATCTGGTACCAAGTGCTCAAGTCCTGCAATTCCCGCACATTGCGAGGGGGTAGGTTGGCAGTACAAATGCTCTATTGGATTAATGTGCAGACATCAGGGATTATGGGGCCTTATGTGCTTCATGAAAACATTTCCCACACCATAATACCCTCGCCACCGACTTATCTCCGTCCAACTGTGCGTCCGGGATCCAGGGTTTCGTTTGGAAATCGGCATATTAACACATGCCGATGAAATTGTGATTCCATGAAGGACCAGAAAACGTGATTCGTCGGAACATGCATTCTTCCATTCCAATGTCCAATTCCAATGTTTCTTAGGCCATTGCAGATACAGCTGGTGATGACGTGCCGTCAGTGCAGGGAATATGCTTCCGCCTCTGGCTGCGTAGGCCCATACGCAGCAATATATACTGAACAGTGTGTTGAGATACACTGTCTGGGTCGCCACTTTTGTAGCTGGTGGTTATTTCGGCTGTCGTAGCTCTACGGTTACGCCAAACAATGCTTAGCAATCTTCGCTGTTCTCTGGAATCAATGCGCTTTCAACGACACACTGCGGGCCGGCCACTTGTCGTTTCACCATTCATACTACTTTCGATATGTGCTCGCAAGAATTGCACGTAAACAGCCCGCTAAATGCGCCGTTACTGATATTGGTGCTCCCACTCGCCGAGCCATAACGATTTGAGTTTTATCGAAGTCTTTTTCATTATGTTGTTAATCCCGCTATGTTTGGAAAGACAATGCATAGCCGCTCAGTCGCAATGGTTATAGATGGAGAGTGGTCATAATGGAATGGCTCTTCAGTGAGCAGCCCATTGTTATGTCTGTAATAATTTATGAAAGAAGACTTAAGATACTTGCAGTCAAGGCTGGCATAATATTTCTCTATTTCCATTGATAACCATTTTTTAAACCAGCGCAGATAAATTGGTGCAATTAGCGCACAGGAGTTTATGAATAAATAAATTTTTCATTTCCAAATATATTTATAAATAATTTAATAAATATTTACGTAGTTTGTTAAAGGCAAATACATGCCTTTTACAAGGATATGCATAAATACCCATATATATGTGAGTAGCAGGAGAGCGACAACTCAACACGACTAACGGTATCGCGGTAAGATAGACGATGGAAGAGAAGGAGAGGAATCGTGCTTTCGACTTAAGACGTAATGATTAGACAGCAAACATGTAAACTTTCAACATCGCTTTTTTTTTCCATGTGTAAATAGTCACTAATGTATCTCCACCAATAGCTAAATAAAATACAGGGTGATCTTTTTTAAAGTGACAGTATTTGGAGCACCCTGTAGCGCGATATAATAACTGAAATGGCACCAAACTTGGTATTTAGACTAATCAAGACATGGGAAAAAGGACTCCGTGAAAAAAAAATGTTCCAAAAATCGCCGCTCTAGGACATTTTGTGGCGCTGCTGTAGCTTACAATAACGAGAATTAGCATAAAACACGAGTAAAGAAAAATGCAAATGTTGTGCGATGACAGCGCCAGTAATAGGGGCTGCAAAAACAAGTAGAAGACAGCTCCGACAAATAATCTCAGCTGAATTAAACGAGTTTCAGTGGACATGTCCCTCACGTTACCGGAACGTGCGTTACTGGTGAAGCTGTATTACATGAATCAATGTAATGCATCCGCAGCTCTTCGGGAATTTCGAACCATAAAAAAATTACGAAAGGGGCCTTTATCGCTGAATGGTCTGAAGAAAAGGATTAAGAAGTTCGAGGAAACGGGGTTACTGACCATTCGCGCTGGAAGAGGACGTAAACCAGTATCAGAAGATGTAATAACTGATGTGGCAACTGCAATTATCGAAGGATCACAGGGAACCATTGCTGGTACTAGCAGCGTCCGCGTTGTAGCTCGACAATTGGACATGAATTATTCCACGGTATGGAGAGTTTTGCGGCGCGTTATTGGATTTTACCCCTACAAAATCAGCCGCTTGCACGAACTGAAACCAAGTGATTATGATAAGCAAGTGACATTCGCTCTATCGTTTCTTGCCAGGGTAGAAATTGACGCTGCTTTCCTATGGCACATTCTGTGGGGAGATGAGTGCCATTTTTATCTCAATGGGTCCGTAAACACACACAATAGCCGAAATTTGGGCTTCTGAGCAGCCCCACACCGTGCACGAAATCCCATTCCCCAAAAGTCACTGTTTGGTGTGGTTTCACAGCCGAATTCGTAATTGAGCCATTCTTTTTTGAGACCATCACTCCGACAGGACCCCAAACGTGCACCATAAATGCAGAAAGGTACCACGAAATGCTGCAAACGTTTGTTATTTCACAACTTCAGCAAAGAAACCGTCTCCAACAGACAATCTTTATGCAGGATGGTGCTCCGCCACACATTAGTAATAAGGTAAAGCAGCTGTTGCGCCAAAACTTCACTGATGATAGAGTCATAAGTCACAGTTTTCCAGTTGCATGGCCGTCTCGTCTCCTGACCTCACGCCATGCGATGTTTGGCTCTGAGGTTATTTGAAATCTCAAGTTTATGTTGGTGGAGTATCAAATCTGTCTATTCTAAAGAACAACATAACAAAGACAGTGCGGAATATTCCTCGTGATATGTTACATACGGGTCCTGATATACCATGTCTTGATTAGTCTAAATACCAAGTTTGATGCCATTTCGGCTATTAGATCGCGCTACAGGGCTCTCCAAACACTGTCACTTTCAAAAAGATCACCCTGTACTTTAGTCACTTAGATATGCATCGTCAGCTTAGAAATCCCCTAGACGCTGAGTTCACATATATACAGTGGTGGCCAAAATTGTGGACACTTTTGGAAATTTTTATGTTTTTGAACTTTGTATGCTTATAGAAAATGTTACGTTTCGCAAAATGCAAACTTGTATATATCATTTTTTAAGAGAATTTATTACTGAAATCAGTACAAAACACAAGATTCAATTATTTGCAATACAAAAAAGTTATATGTACTTTAATATAAATAAAAAAACATAGTTATGAAGTGGTTTGTAATGGCTAGCTTTCCTGGCCAATCACTGATTTTGTTCTGAGAACCAATCAAATGTTAGTAACTGCCAGTAGAAGCTGACATCATGTTTACACTTGAAACAATTCATTATTTTGATTTGTTCTGTAGAAGGAGTACCTGTTTCTTATACACTGCAATTACAAGTAGGAATTTTTGTAAAAATTTTTAATATTTAGTCAAGAAGCAATGACATCAAATAAAAGAGAAGATTGGACACCTAGAAAGAGATGTAATATTATTGCGTTACGAGAAAGTGGTCTTTCCTGTGCCGAAATTGCAAGACAGGTGGGTGGTTCAGTGACTACATCTGGAGTCCGAAAGTTTTGTTTACGATATCAGGAGACAAATTCAATAAAAAACAAAGAAGGAAAAAGCCGAAAAAGGTGCACCACATCTATTGATGACAGAAGAATAAAAAGACTATGTCTCCAAGATAGAAAAATGTCATCAGCGGCAATCAGAAGTGATCTGAATGATGCTGGTGTTTCTGTCAGTTCAAGAACAATCAGGAGAAGATTAACAGATGTTGGACTGAGAGGGAGAATTCCACGAAAAAAGCCTTATCTTAATTTTCAGCAACGAAAAAAAAAAAAAAAAAAAAAAAAAAAAAAAAAAAGACTACAGTGGGCAAAGGAACACATTAATTGGACAGATGATCAGTGGTCACAAGTTATATAGAGTGATGAAACTAAGATATCGTTATTCGGT